TGTATAGATACATATAACCCCCACGACTTCTTTGTCCATTTACCAGCTGATGGACATTTGGGCTCTTTCCATAATTTAAATATTGTTGATAATGTTGCTATAAACAGGGTGCATGTGTCTCTTTAAATCAGTATTTTTGTATCCTTTGGGTAAATTCCTAGTAGTGCAATTGTTTGGTCATAGGGTAGTTCTGTTTTTAACGTTGTGAAGAACCTCCATACTGTTTTCCAGAGTGGCTGTATCAGTTTGCATTCCCACCAACAGTGTAAGAGAATTCCCTTCTCTCTTGCATCCTGGCATTGTTCATTCTAACCATTCTGACAGTTGTGAAGTGATAGCTCATTGTAGTTTTAAGTTGTATTTCCCTGATGAATGATATTGAACATCTTTTCATATGTCTGTTAATTTTTTTTAAGATTTATTTATTTATTTATTCATGAGAGACACAGAGAGAGAGGCAGAGACACAGGCAGAGGGAGAAGCAGGCTCCATGCAGGGAGCCCGATGTGGGACTCAATCCCGGGTCTCTGGGATCCGGCCCTGGGCTAAAGGCAGCGCTAAACTGCTGAGCCACCCAGGCTGCCCTTAAGATTTTATTTATTTATTTATGGGAGACACGGAGACAGAGGCAGAGACACAGGCAGGGGGAGGAACAGGCTCCGTGCAGGGAGCCCGATGCAGGACTGGATCCCGGGTCTCCAGGATCACACCCCGGGCTAAAGGCGGCGCTAAACCACTGAGCCACCCGGGCTGCCCATTTCTGTTAATTATCTGGATGTCTTCTTTGGAAAATATTCATGTCTTCTGCCCATTTCTGAACCATATTATTTGTTTTTTGTGTGTTGAGTTTGATGAGTTCTTTATAGATTTTGGATACTAACACTTTATCAGATATGTCATTTGTAAATATCTTCTCCCATTCTATAGGTTGCATTTTAGCTCTGTTGATTATTTCCTTCACTGTAGAAGCTTTTTATTTTGATGAAGTCTCCATAGTTCATTTTTGCTTTTGTTTCCCTTGCCTCAGGAGACATATCTAAGAAGTTGCTACGCCGATGTCAAAGAGGTTGCTGCCTTTGTTCTCCTCTAGGATTTTTATGATTTCAGGCGTCACAATTAAGTCTTTCATCCACTTGAATTTATTTTTGTGTATGGTGTAAGAAAGTAGTCCAGTTTCATTCTTTTGCATGTTGCTGTCCAGTTTACCCAACACCAAGAGTCTGTCTTTTTCCCATTGGGTATTCTTTCCTGCTATGTTGAAGATTAATTGACCATACATTGTGGGTCCATTTCTGGGTTTTCTGTTCTCTTCCATTGATCTAAAAACATATCTGTTTTTATGTCAGTACCGTATTGTCTTGATCACTACAGCTTTGTTAAATACCTTGAAGTCTAGAATTGTGATGCTTCCAGCTTTACTTTGCTTTTTCAAGGTTGTTTTGGCTATTCGGGATCTTTTATGGTTCCAAACAAATTTAGATTGTTCTAGCTGTGTGAAAAATGCTGGTGGTATTTTGATAAAGATTTCATTAAATGTGTAGACTGCTTTGGGTAGTATAGGCATTGTAAGAGTAACAATATTTTGGTTCTTCCCGTTCATGACCATGGAATGTTTTTCCATTTTTCTGTGTCATTTCCATTTCTTTCATAGGTGTTCTGTAGTTTTCAGAGTACAGATCTTTTACCTCTTTGGTTAGATTTGTTCCTAGATATCTTACGGTTTTTGGTGCAGTTGTGTTAGACTTTCTGTTTCTTCCTGTTTCACTCTTGGAAGATCGTTTCTAGGAATTTGTCCATTTCTTCTAGTTTTTTGGCACATAATTTTTCTTAGTAGTCTCATAATCCTTTGTATTTCTGTGGTGTCAGTGGTGCCTTCTCTTTTTCATTTCTGATTTTATTTGAACCTTTTTTTTTTCTTGATAATTCTGGCTAAGAGTATATTATTTTTGTCTTTTCAGAGAACTAACCCTTAGTTTCACTGATCTTTTATTCTCTCATTTATTTCTGCTCTGATCTTTGGTATCATTTCCTTTCTGCTAACTTTGGGTTTTGTTTGTTATCCTTTTTTTAGTTCCTTTAGGTCAAGGTTAAATTGAGTTTTTCTTGTTTCTTGACATAGGCCGTATTATAAACTTCCCTCTTAGAACTGCTTTTGCTGTGTCCCAAAGATGTTAAAATACTATGTTTCCATTTTCATTCATCTCAAGGTTTTGTGTTTTTTGTTTGTTTTATCTCAAGGTATTCTTTTTTAATTTCTTCTTTTATTTCTTTGTTGGCCCTCTGGTTGTTTAGTAGCATGTTGTTATGCCTCCATGTGTTTGGTTTCCACTTTTTTTTCTTGGAATGGATTTCCATTTATCATACCATTGTAGTCTGAAAAGATACCTGACCATAAATAGGAAGAATATCACAGGTATGGTCAGCGTGCAGGGGTTTGGTTCCCAGATTGTATCTCTCTCCCTTCTGTCCTTCTCAGTAAGTCTTTTTCTTTGTGTCTTTGACATGGAAGAGTTGTTCTCCAAATCCTCAGGTTGTTCTGAGAGAGGGATGCTCTCTATGTAGTTGAAGCCTCTGTGTCTCTGTGGGAGGAGGTGAGCTCAGGATTTTTCTATTCTGCAACTTCCCTTTGTGATTTTTTTTTTCTCAATCAGTTTGCTTAGAGGTTTATCAACGTTACTGATCTTTTCAGTAAATAATGAGTTTTAGGTTTCATTGTATATTTTGTTGTTTTTTTTTCTTTTGTATTTCATTAGTTTTGTTTTATGTTGTTTAACTTGCTCTTCTTTTTCTAGCTTAAAGTAGAACTTGAGGTCATTGATTTGAGACTTTCTTGTTCTCTGATATAGGTGTTTAGTGATATAAATTTCCCCTTAAGTACTTCTTTAGCCATTTCAGATTCTGATACATTGTAGTTTTATTTTCATTCAATTCAAAGTGCTTTCTAATAATCCTGTGATTTCTTAAAATGGGCTATTTGATAGCCCATCCATGAACTATTAAGTCTGACATCTTGCTTTTTGTTTTCTGTTTGTCCCAACTCTTCCTTTTTTTTCTTTTTCTGCACTCTTTTTGAATTTTTTTTCTGTGCTTTCATATTATCTTCTCTGGCTTATTAGCTATAATTCTTTGTTATTTTAGTGGTTGTTTTAAGAGTTCTCATGTATGTGTTTAGCCATCATAATCTATTGTCAGGGATCGTACCTCATTTATAATTTGAGTACTTTATAATGAATAGGTGCTTCCATTTCTCTTCTCTGGTCTTTATATTGTTATTATCATATGATTTTCTTCTGTGTCTATTGTAAACCTCATTCTGTGTTGTTAATATTGTTCTTTAAACAATTGATTATCTTGTAGAGAGATTTAAATATGTAGTTACCCAGAGTTACTATTTCTGGTGCTCCCCCATTCCTCTGTTTAGATTTTTATTTCCATCTGGCATCAGTTTCCTTCTGCCTGAAGGATTTCCTTTAACATTTCTTATCGTGCAAGTCTGCTGCTGATGAACTCTTTCAGATTTTTGTAATATCTGGAAACTCTTTTAGGGTAATTTGATGCGGCATTTGTAGGTCTTACTGAGTTTGGTTTCTTTCCTGTTAGGGATCACTGTCCTTTGTTGCTAAATGTCCAGATGTTTTGAAAACCATCGTTTCATATATTTTGTCTGTTTGTTGTTGTTGTTTTGGGCAGGTGGTAAATTTGGCCCATGTTCTCTCATCTTGGAGGGTGAAGTTTGGCCAGGAATTAGAGAAAAGAAGTAAAGTGGTAGCTATACAAAAGCAGTTAGCAAGTAAAATGCCTTTTGAAGCTTCTGGGAGGAGCATATTAAATCCACAGTGGTGGTGATCATCTCTGAGGACTTTCCTTAGTGACCCCTGTCTAAGACCCATTGTTTGGTAGTTTTGAGCATGTTGGCTTGGCTGTGAGTAGGGTCCAGAGCTTGCATGACGGGAGCAGCAGCTTTTTGGAACTGAGGAACAGCAGCAGATGTGAAATAACTTCTAGAAGAAACAGCCAAGGAGAGACCCAGGTTGGAGTCGAAGAAAGGGTTTGGGAAAAGTTGGAGAGTACCTCCCCACAACTTGGTGAATTGAGGTGCTCTTTAATTCTTATCTATGGAAGACTTTCCTGCTCGCATAACAGCTGAATATAATGGGGAGCCTGATCCCACAAATTAGGGAGCATACTGTGATCGTGAGGCTCTTTTCTATACCGTGTAAAATTCAGACAGAATTGTTTTCATCTGACTGTTCTGAGCAGACAACATCCCATATCTGTTTGCCTACATAGGATGAGTGAGTAATGAAAAGAAAATGGGGGTGGGGGGTGTCTTTGTTTGGTTAGCCATAACAACAAAGTGCCATCGGCTGGGTGGCTTCAACGACAAAAATTTATTTGGGCACAATTTTGAGGCTAGAAAGTCCAACTTTGGGGATCCAACAGAGTCCAGTTTCTGGTGAGGGCTTCTTTCCTAGCTTGCAGTTACCTTCGGGTGTGTCCTCACATGGCCTATCTTCAGTGGGTGTGTTGGAAAGAGGGATCTCGCTCTCCCTTTTCCTTTTCTTATGAGGCCACCAATCCTACTGGATTAGGACCCTCCTCCCCCATATGACCTCATCTGACCTTAATTACCTCCTAAAAGCTCTATCTCCAAATACTGTCACATTGGCAATTAGGCTTCAACCTAAGAATGTGGGGGTTGGGGGACAAATATTCCGTCACTTGCAGTGTATGATTCCACAGCTACATAGGCATCTAACAGGTGTGATTCGAGTCTTTAGTCAACCCCTCATTTCTGGTGGCCATTCTCTCCAGAGGCCCAAGCCCTGGTAATAGCCCCTTTATGACATACCTCCAGACCAAAAGCTTTCAGAATTAGATTTGAATTCTAGTTTCTTGTTGAAATGGATAGAAGTGGCCTGGACATACCTTTTCAGTTACTGTCGATTCTGTGGGAAAATGATGGGTCTCCTGACAGATTTCCTGTATCTTGTCTCCAGGTGCTTCTTTGTGGCCCAGTTGGTCCAAAGCTGCATGAACTTCTTGATGATAATGTATTTGTTCCACCAGAGTCGTTGCAGGAAATGGATGAGTTCCACCTTATTTTGGAATATCAAGCAGGTAAGAGAAATGAGTAAGTAGTGGGATGAGACTAGGCGGGGGACTGTGTGTTGTCCAGCTGAGGTGTGACTGTGCTAGAAATTTATCTTTGTAAATAGGCAGGACCTTTTCTTGCCTGACCGAAGGTTTCCTGACCTGGTTCTGCTGAGCTGATGCTGGCCATTGTCTTGAGAATAGAGAGAATTTGAGCATTGAAGAAAATTCTGAGATCTACAGACAGAACTGATCTGAACCCTGGAGATATCAGGCTGTAGGAAAGTTGGCATCTTGAATCAAAATGAAAATGTATTAAACACACATGTACAAAGTTTTTCTTTCTTACTAAGGAAAGAGAAGGGCATGTAACATCTGTTCAGCATGGTGCTAGATTCTGCTCCAGGCTTTTCTGGCCAACTGTTCCAAGCTGCTTGGGATTGATTCCAAGCCCCTGGCAAACTTCCTTTGAAGCATTTTATTTTCCCTTGGGTGTGTAAGTGGAAGGGTTTGTATTTAACAACACTTATATTCTTTCCCATTATATACTGTTACGGTGTTCATCAATCCAAATCCGGCCCATCCGGTGTCCCTCCCAGAAGATTTTGTGTGTTATGTAGACTACAGATCTGATTCTTAGAGAACCCTAAATACCTAAACATATTTTAACTGTTTATCTAATTCTGTGTATTTGCTGTTGTCTCTTTCCTTTGCTCAGAACTCCAGACTCTTGAAATTCTGACTCAACACATTATTAACTCAAGTTAAAGACTCAAATATCTAAACAGACTGATTGGTCCCTTAAAACACTGCTTAATAGGCTCAGTGAACTGCTTCCAAGTCGATCAAGAGACCCTCACCTCCTAGAGTAATTACTGTAAGATAGGAAATAGAGTGCTTCTCGAAAGTTAGGCTTTCTCCATGTTCAAGAAAGGAATTGTGTCTGGTTATCTTTCGGCTGCTTATCGGAATCAGGAAGTTAGGAAGGGCTAAGCTGTGAACTTCATGAACAAAAGATTGCTGTAGACAGTTCACATTTAATCATATGCAAGTTTTGAGTTTCTCAGAAACTCTTCCTGCCTGAAGATTGTGGTAAAGGTTCACAGGTACTGAGGGCTTCTTCACGAAAGGCATGAATGGGACTGTTGACCAGAAGGGTCTAGAAGAGCTAAAGATGTGCCTTGCAGGTGCTGCTGCTGCTGCCAGTCCCAGGTTCCCTTCCCTTGCACCCTGCAGGTGCACACATCATGACCCGGAGACCTCTCTGGTTCCTGGTTTCTGTCATTTTCCCTGGTCACCGCAGGGAAAGAGGAGAGACTGCTCTCTTCAACCAGATTTTCCTGTTGAATGTGACAGTTGTGCCACATGTGGAGGGAAGAAGACGGCACAGCTTATCCTGAAAGGAGACTGTCTCCATCCTTGGGCTTATAAACCCCACACTTTAGTTTTTCTGTTGTGTGCCTTATTTTGTTAGTACAAAGCAGGGCCCCCCATTAAACTTCCTGTGAAGTTACATTTTCACCGGCCTCTAGAGGGAACTCAGTCTGGTGGCAGAAAACATCGGGTCATTTGTCTTAACAGAAATCCATCCCCAGCTTCTCACAAATTTAGATGACTAAATTCCCAGAGGGGATTTGTCCCCAGTCGTTTCCTCCCTTTCCTCTACCAGACTTGCCCAAAGAAGCCTGTTTTCAGATTTCGGGCCAGGGACCCACATGCCACTATGCAGGTTTTGCTGACATAGTGGCCAAAGGGCAGGACGGTAAACAGAGAAGGGATGGCTCGGAGAAACACCTTCTGAGCTCTGAGAACGGGGGTGTTGAGGCTCCAGGCTTGCCCGGTCTGCGTTCCAGTCGTTTCGCCTCTGGGACTGCTTGGTTGTCCTGTGTCCTGTGGGAACAGCAGGGAGCAGCCCTCTGCTTCTCTCCATGTTTCTGCTTTGCAGAGGCCTGTTTATTTTGCCTCTCTCTTTTTCCCTGAGGAAATTCAATTACTTTGAATGCTGCATGTCTCTGTCCCCTGGGGTGAGTTAGGCAGTGCTTCTGAGAGGCTACACCCCGGGAGGGGCAGGCCCCGGTCTTGCCCTCAGGAGGATACTGATGTGGATTTCTCCCCTCCTGTGGAGTCTTGTCAGTGGGGGAGATGTTGGATTTGGAGTCCTACCTGTATTCTCTGTTGTCACAGGCCATGGAAGTCCTCAGTCCTCTCGTTCGCTTACTCTTTGCTCGTCCATTTGTTCCCATGCTACGTGCAGGGGCGAGGCAGGGGGAGCTGGTGACGGAAGGCGCAGGCCCTGCGGGTGATTACCGAATCGTGTGCCTCCCCCTTGAGAGGGCCCAGGGGAGGAAGCAACTGAGTCTGCTGGGGTTGGCAGAGTTAGGAAAGGGTTCTCAGGGCAGGCGTCCTGGCTTTGGGTCTTTGAAGATAGAGCAGGGTCGGAGTGTTGCCCTCAAGCTGTGTGGACCATGATTGTGTGTTTTCTCTGGATAAATGATAAGACAAAGGCCATGGATTAAAGGAACATGGCATTGTGACCAATGTAACCCTTGTGCTGGGGTTTAGTAAATAGGAAATGTCTTTTTCTGCTTTCATAGATTTTTATAGAAAGGACCCACATATAAAATGTTTTTTCGAGGAATGGATTCAGTAAAGCTGAACTCAAAGTACAGGAAATTTGGGCTCTCCCAGCCTTGACACTTGCTCCAGAATAAGGCCTGCCCTCGCCCCCACATTCCCTGTGGAGAGGGAGGGCTTCTGTTTGAAGAGGCCTGTTGCAGGAAGGAGGAAGGCCTGTGCTGACCACAGTTAACAGATCAGCCTGCAATATGCGGAAACCCTCTGCTGTGGTTTGTCTGCCTCGGGGACAGACTTTCTGAAGGAATGTCCAGTAACTGATAGAAACCAGTGAAAAACTAGGTTTCGGTGTATGAGCTCTAACTTTGTAAATGAGCTGAGTCCTTTACTTGGAGGGAAAGCTATATAAACCCACATCATGAATCCTTGCCCCTCAGTCTCTGGAAGCACCGCTGTGCTGGCTGGGGGGCAGGAGGAAGTGCCCTAAGCAGTCGCAAAGCCTCGATGGCCCTTGCACTGACTGAGTTTGAAGATTTTCTGCCAGTGTTGGGAGAAGAAAGAGCACTGCACTTAATAAAACCTCCGGTTATAAGGCTTCACCAAGTGAGCCTGGGGAAGGCCCCTGTCGCTGAGGAGGTTTTGCTGCAGAGCCTAGGAGGGAGAGTCACTCCTGTGGGTGGGCATAGATCCCAAACTCCTCCCCCCACCAGAAGACCCAGCCAAGGGTGGATCTGGCCTCCTCTGCTTGGATCAGTGTAGTAGATGGCTGAGTGGGCACTCCCGCAGGGGCCTGTGACGAGTACTGTGAGGATCAGACGCGTACAGTGTTCCCTTCAAAGAGCTGGGGTTCTATTTGGAGAGATGTGGCGTGATGTGTGAAAAGTTAAGTAATGGTGTAAGTTTGAATACTCGTTCAGAACAGTAGGAGAGAGAGCGCAAAACAAAATGATATTCACCAAACCATGTGAAAGGAAATCTCTGGATGCTCAAAGTGGTGAGAGTGCACCTCGGGCTGGAGCAGTCAGCGGCCACTTAGGGAGGAAGTAGCACTTGAACTTGTCTTGAGTTGTCATTATTGCAGAGCAGCTCGCTCAGATGAGACGACAGCAGCTAGATGCTCTTACCTCCTGGATCAAGTGCCAGGAAACCACCAAAGAGGAGGAGTAGGGCGGAGGGGCTGCCATCAGCAAGACTCTTGGAATTCTAGCCTCTGTAGGTCCCAGCTGCATGAAGGGGGCTCGGGGTCTCTCTCTGAGGTGGGAGTTGCTTCGAGAAAGGTAGTGTGTCCTGTATACAGGGATGTGCACAGTGTGCACCGGATGCTGGTATTTGGAAGTCATGCTACTGTTCTGTGACCAGGAAGGGACATGGGTAAGAGTTCAGCGGGCAGTAGAGCTTTCCTGGGAGTACTTTTCCAGCCCCTGACAAAGGCACAGATAGCCCATGCTGTGTTTTGTTGGGTTGGGGTTGGGTTTGGTTGATTGGTTTCCTTACTGACCGCCGTCCTCCTGGCTGCAGCGCCGTGCTTGGCTAAGCCATCGTGGCTGGCCTCCACTCAGCCAGAAGCCCGCCTGCCCAGAGCCAGGGCTCCAGTGAGGCCCCCTCCAGTCCCCACAGCTAGGAGACTTAAAGCCTCTTCCTTTTCTTCCCATTGTGTCAACTGGGCTTTTCTAGGGGAGGAGTGGGGCCGGTTAAAAGCTCCCCATGCCAACCGATTCATCTTCTCCCACGACCTCTCCAACGGGGCCATGAATATGCTGGAAGTGTTTGTGTCTAGCCTGGAGGAGTTTCAGCCAGACCTGGTGGTCCTCTCTGGATTGCACATGATGGAGGGACAAAGCAAGGAGCTCCAGAGGAAGAGGCTCTTGGAGGTAATAGCACTGTCACAGAATTTCACAGATCTCAGCTGGCCCTGTCCCTGTTTCTCCCTCTCTTGGTGTCTGCAGCTCATGCTGCCTGGTCCTCGGTCCTGGCCTCCCCGGGACGATGCCCCGATTAACGCAGCCTCTCTGACGCTGGCCTCCTGCTGCGGGGCGGCGCCTCCTGCTGAGGTGGCGGCAGCTTGGGTAGGACAGGTCAGAACCTCCTCCTGCCTGAGCCTCTGTGCCCTGTGTGACGCGGAGTGTGGCTCCAGCCATGGTGTGTGTCGTCTGCATCCTGCGTGTCGTGCGTGTCGTCTCTTCACACCAGCTGTTCTGCGGTTCCTCAGTTTCTCAGCCTGGGCCCCCAGGAATAGGCTGCTCCCTGAGCCCACAGGGGCGGCTCTTGGTGCCGGTCGGGAGGGGCGTCCCTCATCCTTTGTCTGGAGGCTGCGGTGACCCCCGGGGCTTAGAGCTTTCATGATGATGCAAAAAAGGCAGTGACCAGAGGTACCACGTCTCGGCCTCAACCCTTTGTTCCCTCCTGCGTGAGTTCTGTTTCTAATGGCACCACTCCACTCTTCTCTCTGCAGGTCGTGACCTCCATTTCTGACATCCCCACTGGTGTTCCGGTTCACCTGGAGCTGGCCAGTATGACCAACAGGGAGCTCATGAGGAGCATCGTGCATCAGGTAAGCACAGGGGCAGTGCGTGCAGCCTTCTGAGGGTGAGCCCTCACCCTCAGGAGGCCTTGCAGGGAAGTGCCCTTGTCCCGTGGGGCCAGCTCTTGGGGCCCAGGGGCCAGCTCACTGAGGTGTGGATATCCTGTTGCTCAGAGCTGGGTCTGTGGAGAATCCAGATAAGGAACCAGAGCCATCCTGGAATAGCATCTCCCACTCGGTTGGAAATATGTCCGCATAACTGATGGATTTGTGGGTCCTGTTTCTCCTGGAATAAAGAAGTTGGATGTGAATGGTTTTTGCAGTAGGACCCAAAGGAGAAAACTGAAAGCCCAGTTCAGCTGCTTTAAATTGAACTTCCAGAAGTTCAGAGGAGAGGAACTTTGGGGGAGCTTTACTCCCTCACCACCAGGCACCCAGGTGTCCGACTCCAGCCTCCTGGCGGCCGCGGTGATTAGATAGACCTGGGAGTACAGTGCTTCAGAGGACAGGCTTTGGGAGCCGGGGTTGGAATGCCAGCTTCGCCGCTCTCTGGCTTTATGAACGGAAAGCAAGTTATGTAACCTTTTATTTCATTATTATTTAATTTTTCTAACGGGCGACACATTCATATGGTCAATCCCCAATAGTACTAAGATACACAGTGAAGTCTCCCTCCTACCACCGGTACCCTTGGCTTCGTCCTTGTGCTCCAGAGTCACTGTACAAATAGAAGCAAACATGGGAATATTTCCTTAATGTTTGGTCCCTTTTTATCCCAAAAGATAGCACAGTGCACAGCATATAGACAGTTGTGCACATTGCTTTTTCTCACTGATTGGATTTTGGAGGCCTTTTCTCCATCATCACTGGGTCACATCCTGTCTTTGCACAGCCAGGCAGTGAAAGGGAGTATGTGGGTTCCCCAGGCTACTCCCTCTGCACCGTCTCGGTGGGCATCTTGGTTCTGTCCCTTGCTGAACCAAATGGGTGCAGCAGAGAACCTTGTACGTGACTTTCATTTCCCCGGGAGCTGGTCTGTATGTCTGATGAATTCGCAGGAGTATGGCTGCTGGGAGAGCAGAAAAGGTCTTCGTGAGTTTAATGCTGCCAGCAAGCCCTCCGCGAGAGCTGTCCCATTCACCTCCACTAGAACTCTTTACAAGTGCTATTTCCGCATATCCTTGCCACCAGGACGTGGTTAGAAGCAGGCATTCTTTGACCAGTCTGACAAGTGAAAAATATATGAGACTAGTTGTGGGTTCTTTTAATAGACTTTACTTTTTAGGGCAGTTTCAAGTTCATAGCAAAAGTGAGTAGCATGTGGTGAGCTCCCATGTACCCCACGACACACACCTGCCGCTTCCCCCACTGTCGGCACCCTGCTGCCCATGGTGTCACCCACAGTGTTGCTGCCGTGAGTGCCCAACCCTGCGCTCACACGGTCACTGCCCACAGTCCGTGGTTTACGTGAGGGTTCACACTTGTTTTTCAGTGTAGTTTTTTTTTTTTTGAAAGATTTTATTTATTTATTCATGAGACACACACAGAGAGAGGCAGAGACACAGGCAGAGGGAGAAGCAGGCTCCTTCAGGGAGCCCGATGCAGGACTCAATCCTGGGACCCCGGGGTCATGACCTGAGCTGAAGACAGACACTCAATCGCTGAGCCACCCAGGCATCCCTCAGGATAGTTTTTAATTTAAATTTCTCATCTAAGGTTATCTTTCCACTTTTAAAAAAAGCCCCGTTTATTTCATTTTCTGTGTATCTGTGCAACCTTTCCGAGCCTTAGTCGTTGTATCTGTAAAATGGTAGATGCAGTGGCTCCCCAACAGGCTCAGTGGCTCCTGTTCAGACCCTGTTGTAGTTACTACTAAATGCGGTCTTCCCTAAGCCTCTCCTTGCTTCTTGGAGTTGTGTCCACAGCACCACGTGACCCTGTGTGTTGCTAGGGCCTTGGAACCGAGAGCCCTGTCCCACCAGTGGGCAGAGGGTCTGCTGTGCATGCAAAGTCTAAAGCCAGGCACCATGGACAGAAATAGGAACTAGGTGCCCCTCTGCCCTTTGTCTCCCAAGTGATCGTGAAGGTGTGATTAGAGGTGTAGCCAAAGCAGTGACCTGTGACCATCGCTTCCCTGGCGGAGAGTCCCGTGGGAAGGACGAAAGACACCGTAGTGCCTGCCTTCCCTGACTGTCATCACTGGCTGTGTCCTCAGGTCTCTTGAGAGCCGCGTGTCCATCAGAAAGAGACTTCCGTTGTGTTTCTGTTAGCAGGTCTTTCCTGCGGTGACTTCCCTGGGGCTGAACGAACAGGAGCTGTTGTTCCTCAGCCAGGCGGCGTCTGGACCTCACTCCTCTCTCTCTTCTTGGAACGGCGTCCCCGACGTGGGCATGGTCAGTGACATCCTCTTCTGGATCTTGAAGGAACACGGGAGGAGTAAAGGCAGAGCCTCAGACCTCACCAGGATCCATTTCCACACGCTGGTCTACCACATTCTGGCAACCATAGACGGACACTGGGCCAACCAGCTGGCGGCCGTGGCGGCGGGAGCACGTGTGGCTGGGACACAGGCCTGCGCGACAGAAGCCATAGACGCCAGCCGAGTGTCCCTGCGGGCACCCCCCGAGTTCATGACTTCCCGTTCGGAGGCGGGCGCCAGGATCGTAATAAACCCCAACGAGCCAGTAGCAGAGTGGCACAGGGAGGGAATTTCCTTCCACTTCACCCCAGTACTGGTGTGTAAGGATCCCATTCGAACGGTGGGCCTCGGAGATGCCATTTCTGCCGAAGGCCTCTTCTATTCAGAAGCCCGCCCTCACTCCTAGGAAGGTGGCTGTGGGTGGTTTTTCTGGAGGAGAGCTACTCGATTTAAGAGTTACAGGAAAAATAGGAGGAGGGCTGTCCAAACAGTTTCTAGATCTAATTGAAAGATAGCCAAAGAAACAACAGATTCAACTGTATCAGATACATTCCAGCCTGTTGACAATTACACAGAAACATTTCAGGTTTTAATCAGACTTCAGCTATCTACTAACGAGACTGGATTTTTTTTTTTTTTTTTATGTTGTGCGTTAGAGGGGTAAAACTTGATCCTCGTATCCCCATCTTACGCAGCGTTGTCAAGTACTTCAGGCCCCCGTGGCTCTGGAGAGCATGTCAGCTGGAGAAAGCCCTGCCCCTTTGCCAGGTGCAGAGGCGCATGCTCACTCACCCGTCCTCCCCATCTTCCGCGAGGCCCAGCGTGAGCGTCTTGTGTTCCCTCTCTGCTCTGCGCTCATAGGCAGGACCGTGATGTCCATTCAGTGTTACAGTGAAAATATTTCGTGAGCACACCTGAGTCTTCTGCTCTCAAACTTAAGACAGAGCCACACGTAAGGACAACACCGTCGCTTTGTGCTCCGCTGTCGCAGCAGAGGCCGGGAGCCTGGCTCGCCTACGGGGCGGCCTCGGGGGCCTCTGGGCTCCGCCCTCCTGCCCCAGCTCCCCAGGTGGTCAGTGGCTGGTCAGAGGCTGCCTCATCCCCCGGCCCTGGACGTGCTTTCCACAGTGGAAGACTGATCTTTGTTCGTTCTGATCCTTGAAGGAATTTGCTTTTACAACTGGAATATGCTTCTATATGTGTAACCGGTCATGTTTGTTTGATGTTGACCCACCACATCCATTAAAAAGTTTTACCTCATCAGAGCCCCAGGATCATGAATAAATCGGTCACACGTTACGTATTTATTTTTTTATAAGTCAAGGAGACTTCTGTGTGCTTTTAAATCTATTAAAAACAATTTACATTTCAGGAATCCTCAGTCTACTTGTGATTGATTCCGTTTCTCCCACCACCGCTCCGTAGCCTGATGAAGTAGGAATCCCTGTGATCCTGACGAAGCCGTGTGTTGCTCTGCTCTCAGGTGCTGGTCTCGCCTCGCGCTGAGCCCGAGCTGAAGGTCTGCTGTTGGTTTAAGGTGACGAGAAGACCGTAGTGTCAAGTAGCCAAGCCGGTAGGAAACCGCGGTAGGAAAGAGCACGATGAGCCTTCTTGGTTGTTCGAGGAGCAGTCTGAACATGGCAGCGGAGCAGGCCCGCCCGGCTGTGGGGCTGAAGGAAAGGCCTCATTACTCCTTCAAAGACCACATAAGTCTAGAGCTCGAAAGTCCAAGCAAGTAGCTTATAAAGGAAATTTCTGGCCCCTCCCTCACCAGTCTCTGCCTCCAAGCTCAATTAAAAATTAAACACCCAGCGTCTAGCCTATTTGTATCAGAAAGGCTTAAGTGAGAAGAGATTGTTTTCTCATCACATAAACCGTTGCCCAACAACTGTGAGCCCGGAGGTGTTTTCCAGGGGACTTTTCCCTCCTCCGCCTCGAGCTGTGGCTGCCCTGCCCCCGCCCGGGGTCCCAACACGTTTGCTCTGCCAAGCGAACGTCAGTAAGGGCAAGCACTGGGGCCTTAGAGCAGTGCTTTTCAAAAGCTGGGCCTTGAAGTACTTCTAGTCACTAAATCAGTGTGGTGGGGAACACGAAGTGTCAACACGTCAGGCTGAGGGGCAAGCGTCACTTCCTGCTCGTGAAGCTTTATGTGTGTCTGGCGAACGTGCATAGCTAGGCCGTTGTGCCCCTCAGAACGGCCCACCCTCGAGAAGGCAGCTAGGCTTTGGAAGGAAGACGGGATGTCAGCCGACAGGCTTCGTGGAGGGGAGCTGGCAGGGTTGGACAACTCGCAGCCTCCAAACTGCTCTACAAAGCTTCCCATGTGATACAACGAAGGTTGAAATCCCGTGGAGCAGGATAGGGTGCCCGTGAGCCGGGGGCCTCCCTACCAATGTTCTCACGCTCACTCTTCTATTCGCTTGAAATGGTTTCACCCCCACCGCCTCCCAGGGAGGGCGAGGTGCCAGCACAGGAAGCACAATCAGGATGAGAATTTGGCCAAAAACCAGTCACCGCCATTGTGCAGACAGAGTTTGTGTTTTACTCTGTGTAGTGGGGGGCGGGGGGGTCATCCGTTCAGGTTCCGGGCAGGGTGCTGAGAGGGCTGGGACTGCAGGTCAGGGCTGGGCCACCTTTACTGAGCCTCACTTTGCTCACCCAGAGAACGGGGTGCACAGCGGTCCCTCCCCGGAGGGTTCCTGATGATTTAAGGAGAATGCGCTGCAAAGTATTTAGCACAGTACATGGCACATATTTAAAAGTTTTTTTTTTTTTTAAGATTTATTTATTCATGAGAGACGCAGAGAGAGAGAGAGGCAGAGACACAGGCAGAGGGAGAAGCAGGCTCCATGCAGGGAGCCCAACGTGGGACTCGATCCGGGGTCTCCAGGATCACGCCCTGGGCTGCAGGCGGCGCTAAACCACTGCGCCACCGGGGCTGCCCCCGTATTTAAAAGTTTAATGACTGTCCATTACTATTACCAAACTGAACAGGCGGTTTCCTGGGTCTCCTTAGAACTGTTTTAAAACCTTGAAAAGCCACCACAATGACAATTTAACATGTCACTCATGTCTCCTAGGTAAAAATTGTCATTCAGTGGAGCTCCACATATTTCAGGTGTACCGTTTGGTGGTTGAGACAAACGCATAGGCCTGTCCAACCCAAATGCCTGTCGAGGTACAGAATGTTCCCATCACTCCAAAGTGGCCGACCCATTTCACGCCTGCCAATGATGTTTGACAGTTCTGGTGGCTTCTCCCTGCCAAGACTTGGAGGCTTCCATGTAATTTGTAGCCATCTCGAAGGGTGTGCAGTGGTATTTCGCTGTAGTCTATGCATCCCCCGATGATGAATAATGAGCATTTGTTTTTTGTTTTTTTTTTACATGTTTATTGACCATTTGTGTGTCTTGGTGAAGTGTCCAAATCTGCTTACTCTTTTTTCTTTCCAGCTGAGTTGTTTTGTGTATATTGTTTGGGTGGGTTAGTTTTATTACTATTCTTACTATTCTTGAGTTGTAGGAGTTCTTTATATATTCCCAGTCTGTAGACAGGTGCTCATTTTCTTCCTGGCCTGCTGGTCTAAAGCACCGAACTATTCCTATCATGCTTGTTTGTTGTCTCATTATTTTCTTCTAGGAACTTTGTAATTTTAGGTTTTACATTTAGGTCTATAATCCATTGGGAGTGACCTTGTGGATAGTGTTAGGTTGGGATCAGATTCACTCCTTTCCACAGCTGTGAACAGCTGTCCAGTTTGGCGTTCACTTTCCTTTTCCCATTGCACTGCCTTCTTGCCTTTATCAAAAATGCCTGTGGGCACCTGGGTGGCTCGGTGGCTGTTGAGCGTCTGCCTCCGGCTCAGGTCATGCTCCTGGGGTCCCAGGATTGAGTCCCGCATCGGGCTCCCCACGGGGCGTCTGCTTCTCTCTCGGCCTCGGTCTCTGCCTCTCTCATGAATAAATAAAAAATCTTTTTAAAAACTGCCTGTGTAAGTGTGGGTCCATTCGTGGACCGTATCATCTTACTATTTGCCCACCCCAATACCAGTACCACACAATTGCTCTCTGGTCAAGCCTTGAAGTGAGGTGTCGTGTTAAGTCCCCCCGCTTTGTCCAAGATCGCCTCGCGTGCACGAAGTTCGCTGTATTCCCTCCCGTAGAACCAGCTCATCACTTTCTAACCCAGACCCTGTTGGGCTTGTGCTAGGACCCCATAGACCTATTTGGAAAGAATTTTTTTTCTCTTAACAAGAGTTTGTTTTCCAGCTCTGTCCTCATTTAGGGTTTACTTTGCTCTTCTTTTTCTAGCTTAAGGTGGGGACCTCTCTCACTGATTTTCTGCCTTCTGTTCTAATAGCAGTGTTTATAGCTAAAAGTTTCTTTGTAAACACTGCTTTTAGCTGAGTCCTACAACTTGTGATCTGCTTTCATAGTATTCAAAATATTTTCTCTGGATTTCTTTCTTATGAGTTACAAGTGTGTATTTAGTTTCCAAATAGGGTTTTTCTACGTATCTGGTTAATTTCTTTTTTTTTTTCTATTTAAAGACAGGGTTTTTTGTTTTGTTTTGTTTTTAAAGATTTTATTTATTTATGAGAGACCCAGAGAGAGGCAGAGACACAGGCAGAGGGAGAAGCAGGCTCGGCTCCATGCGGGGAGCCCGCTGTGGGACTCAATCCCGGGACTCCGGGGTCACGCCCTGAGCCCAAGGCAGACAGACGCTCAACCGCGGAGCCACCTGGGTGTCCCTCTTGTTAATTTCTAATAGAATTTTACTGTGGTCAGAAAACACTGAATATGAGTCTTTTCACTCCAGGTCCTGCCGTACGGCCCGGTGCATGTGTGTCCTGCTGAAGAGGAGCACTGGTGAAGGATACAGTCTGTGCGCTTACTGGCCGCAGCGTTCTGTGAATGTCAGGGAAGTCGAGGGGCTTTAAATGTCCTTTTACATTTACCGTCTAGTTCTAGCAACTGCTGAAAGAGGGGGGGGGTGCTAACATCCAACCAAAATTGTAGATTTAATTCTATTGACTTTTACTTCACGTGTTTTGAAGTTATGCTGTGAGGGGCATACACATGTTTCTTCTCCTAAATTGAATTATTACTAAATGCCCTCATTTCCAGTCATGCTCCTGGTTTTGAGGTCTACTTTATCTGACCTTAACCTAGCCCTCCACACTCAGGCCTGTAGCTTGAATGATAGAGCTTTTTCCATCCTTTTGCTTTCAATAGCAGATTTATCCTTTCTCTACTTTTTAATTGGAATGTTCAGTCCAGTTTTTTTAATCCAATTATGCTTTAGTACAATTAATTATATGGACATGACTGGATTTACATTTAACATTTTGCTATTTATTTTGTCTTTGTCCCATCTTTGTTGTTGTTCCTTGGTTCTTCCTTTCCTGCCCTTTAGGCAAGGAGGATAGTAGTGGGATATTTCTTAGAATTTTAATTTCCTGGGGTGCCTGGCTGGCTCAGTCGGAAGAGTGTGCAACTCTTGATCTCAGAGTCATGAATTCGAGTCCCATATTAGGTATAGAGATTACTTAAAAAAATACAATCTGGGATCCCTGGGTGGCGCAGCGGTTTGGCGCCTGCCTTTGGCCCAGGGCGCGATCCTGGGGACCCGGGATCGAATCCCACGTCGGGCTCCCGGTGCATGGAGCCTGCTTCTCCCTCTGCCTATGTCTTTGCCTCTCTCTCTCTCTCTCTCTCTATCATAAATTAAAAAAAAAAAAATCCTAGGGGCGCCTGGGTGGCTCAGTTGTCTGACTCTTGGTTTCAGCTCAGGTCATGATCTCCTGGGTTGTGGGACTGAGCCCTTTGCGGGGCTCTGCCCCCTGGGAGTCTGCTTGAACATTCTGTCCCTCTGCTCCTCCCCCAACTCTCTCTCTCAAATAAACCTTAAAAAAAAAAAAAAAAAACTTTAAAAAAATTTAACCTTCCAATCGTAGAGTTTCATGTACCCCCTTCTGTTAGTCACAGTGATACATGTTAAGTCTCACAATCCTTTGCTTGGAACAGTCACAGCATTTTTTAAAAATTAGGCCTAGCTAGTGCTTTATATTTAGCTTCCTGTTTCCATGTGTTGTCTCTGGAGGGTGGTCCAGTGAGCTGCCCTGCCTTTCTCAGACGATGAGGATTCTTCCTTAGAAACAAAATGATCGTGGGGCACCTGAGTGGCTCAGTGAGTTAAGTGTCCAACTCTTGTTGATTTCGGCTCAGGTCATGGTCTCAGCATCGGGACACTGACCCCCTGTTGGGCTCCATGCGGAGTGTGGAACCGGCCTAAGCTGCTCTCTTCTGCTCCTTCTGCCCCTCTCTCCTACCCTTCTCCAAAAAAGCCCCACAAAATTATTATAATCCCCTGTACTACTATAACCCAGTAAAAGGGCACTGGTCCCATACGCTAGTTTATACTTGCACTTTCCTGCCTCAGTTCCAGCCATCTAAAACCACACCTGTATCTGTGATGGTGTACTCTGCCTCGTTTCCTAATTCTGTGAAAACCTGTGATGACATGAACTTCCATACTAGAAATGAGAACTGCTCCTCTCTCATCAGAGTGAATGCGAAGCTGCAAACCACATGCCCAGAAGACCGGCAGGTGCAACCTAGGAGGGCCAAGCTCTAAACAATGTGGCCTTCAACTGCGCAGGCCCACTTCTACACGGATTTTTTTCAGTAAATGCATTGGAAATGTTGAGATCTGTGACAGTTTGAAAAAAATGCAAATGAACCACATAGCCTAGAGATAGCCAAAAAAAAATTAAGAAAAATGGATGTCATGAATGCATGGATAAGAGCAGGAGCTTTGCATCCAGACCTGGGTTCAAATCCTGATCCTGCCACTTTCCTTGGAAAACTCATTTTACCTCCCCCAACCTCAGCTTCCTCCGTACGGAGATGGGCTAAGGGTGTCGCTCTGCTGGAAGGGCTCCGGGGGAAACCGCTCCCTTCTGTGGCCCCCAACACCACTCGCCTGCGTTGGTCTCCTGTCACAGTCACTTGCTTCTGTCTCCTTTGTGGGCTCTTCGGCTTCTTCCTTTAACTACTGGTCTCTGGTCTCCCTGTTCCTAAGCTCTCCTCTGGGCTCCTTTCCAATCTGTGGTTTCCGTGAGCCACCCAAGTGAAGTTACTCTGGCATCTTTATCCTCCAGCCCGATTTCACACCCGAGACCTAGCTATTCAAGTGTCTGAGGCACACGCTGCTAACCTGGACTCCCGGCCCTCCACTGCGAGCCCCCAGAGCTGCTCTTCCCTGGTTTGTGGGGGAAACCGTGCCCCCCAGGAGCTGCCCACCCCACGCCCCGTTCACACCTGCTTTGTCACCAGTTCCTTGGAATCTCTTCCAGTTCATAACCTATTTCTCACCAAGACCTGGGCACGGGCACACGAGTTTACACCGAGGTGAAGGTGAGCTTGCTCAGCTGCTCAGGGCACAAATCCCACTTGTGCACACCTGCCACCCGGGGAGGAAACTGATGCTGGTGCCTTGCTGTTTCGGAGCTACAAGCGCAGTTTCCTCTCACTTTGCTGCCTTGAGGTCAAAACACACCGAGTCATGACAGAAAACACTCCAGTTTGCTCTGGTCTGTCCTCACCTTCAAATTATGGTGAGTATGGGGCACTGTAGGTGCCAAGCGGGGACCGGCCCCCGAGCAGATTGCTGGCCCACCGGCCCTCAGGGCTGCAGCAGAAGCCACGCTGGCACGGAGAGGAACATGGCCTTGCGGCGCCTTCTCTGGTTTCAGACTAGTTTTGGAAGTAGATCAGGGAAGACTGCGATCAAAGGTTCCTTTAAAAAGGTTTTATTGTGATCTCTTATTTTCACACCTCAGTAACAACTTTCCCCAAAGGGACGATAATACATAATCTTTATTCTAAAAAGTACATACAGAGAACGTATTGACAGCATCTGGCCAGTGGCATCATTGATTGTTTTTAACAAAAATTAGTTAAGAAGCTCCTTTTTCCCTTTTGGTCCTTGGTGCTGATACCAGACCAGCCCTTCACTCTCGTCTTACATGATCTGGCCCCACACTGCTGTCTTAGGAACAAGCTACAGGGATTGTTCTGGGTTCCCTTGGATGAGTGCAGCTGGAATATCCAACAGGCTGGGCCTCAATGTTTAGAGGTTTTTTCATCATTCCCCCCCCCCCCCATATTTAGACCATTAGAGCTGGATTATTAATCTAGGATTTGTATTTGCCTTCGGGGCTGACATGCCCCCCAGCCTGAAGATCACCCCCGCTAAGCCGAGGCTTCATCAGAACAGGGCTACTGAGCAGAGGTCTGACGTTCCTTCCATGGAGGAAAGGATCAGTCATCCAGGAGGTAAAAGTCATCTCAAAAGCCAACAGCGTCACGTGCCTGGCTGGCTCATGGAGCCACACACAGACCCACAAGCCCACGCGGAATTCATATAGGACCTGTCTGCCAGGCGACGGGGCTCCCGGGAGGCCACACGGCCTCAGCTCCTCGTGGTCACCGGAACACATCTGGGTTCCCTGGTGCCGGGGGCACCTGGCCTCCGCGCACCTGTGTCCTGCACCCTTCGCTAACCTGCCACGTCCCCACCATAGGAGCCCTGCCCCAGGGCCGTCCTACTCCTGTGTTTCTCTGATCTGGGCTGGTGCTTCAGTTGGCTGTGCTCCTGCGGTGGGCTCTGGCTCCAGGGGCAGAGACGGCTTGGTGGGCTGGGCTATTCCTCCGGCACCTAGTAACAAAGCAAACACCTTGAGTGCTCAGGCCCACAATTCTAGAAGAAATCATTCTTTTTATTGTCAAGTCTCTAAAAGAAACCCCGTGTCTTCCAGGACCAGTGGGACGGTGCTGTGTCTGCGCAGCTATGAAGTCAGACCAGAGCTAAGAATTAAAGCAACAGTTGTTTGCCTTCAATGACTCACTGAAAAGAAATCGAATTACCTGCCCGAGGCTGCCTTACAAGGTCTCGCTTCAACATCGCCTGCCTTCTCTTACGGAAGGTACTGGTATTGCTGAACTTGAATGTATCGTCAAGCCCCAGTGTTTCAACCGCTCAAGAAGCCTACCAGGAGCCGCTCCCTAGTGCACAGCATGGCTAAGAAAGCAAGTGCCAATCTGGCCGGCATATTGGCAGTTTCCCCTTCCAGGAAGCCCTGCTTGCAGGCATTCTGAGTCTGAAAAGTGTAGGCCTCGCCAAGAGCCACAATCCCTCTGGCTGGCACACGTGGCCCAAACCCACGAGGACTCAAGGCTGTGTGTAGCCGCCTACCTGACGGGAGTTTCCTGTACGCAGCTGCCGACGACATGGCCTGTCCCAGAGCCTGGTTAGAGCCCAGGGGCTGCTGCAAACTGGCAGCTTTGCTGGCTGAAGCGCTCCGGTGCTTTGACTTGGTGTCTTTAACTGGTTTCGTCCAGACCAGCGCCTCCCCGACCTGCAGGGCAGCTCCCAGCTTCTGGGCCATCTCTACCATCTTGGGCCCACATGGGAAGAGAAAAGGGGGTCACGGATCTCACTGGCAGAGACCAGCCTACCTCCTTCTTCCTAGGCCTTCACCTGGGAGTCTGAAATCCTGTCTGCTGGTATTTGAGAGAGGAAGCATCTACTGCAAGGAGCTCCTCCTCCAGCAGCAGAGAATACGCACTCCCCTTAGGGGCCACGAGGGGACGCATACAGGATCTCAAACCCGGACCTCAAACCCTACGACTCCAGTCTGGCACATCACAGGGTGCGAGACAGGGAGGAAGCTGCAAAGAGACCCAGGCCTCAACTCCGCTGTGCTACATCAATAAGCTAACTCGGCCTGAATTTCCTCTTACTGTTTTCTTCTGGGAGTTTTCCTTAGGCTGTTACTGAAGACTTCATGCCGCCAGGAACACCAAAGCCAGAATGGGCATGAACCTTCAGAATACTTTGGATTTGAATTATCTGGGCTTGATTCAATCCCCGCACAGCCTCCTGGGCACTAATAAAAAGACACACCTCCGCGTCAAATTCCAGAGAGGGGCTGTCCTTGAGCAGACGGACTTTCTTCTCCATCTCCTGGAACTGGGCCAGGGCGCCCTTTCTCTCGCCCTGGTTGTACAGCAGCACCGCATAGTTCAGGTTCACCAAAGGGTTACACCTGCGGCAGACAGAGCCTGTGGGGCTTAGGCTGCGCGGGCGGGGCTCGCTCCAGGCCTTCGACGCCCGAAACACAAACCCCCGAACACAAACCCGGGGCGGGCCGAGCAGATTCCTCCCTTGGCGAGGACGGCGAGCTGAGAACACCTTATGCGCGCACCTCTGGAGGAGGGTCCAGGAGGTGCGTGCCAGGCAGCAAAGCCGGGGGCAGGGGAGCAAGCCTGTCACCTTGGCCCCCAGCAGGCCACCAGGGCGGCCCCCCTGCCGCCGGGCAGATGCCAGGGGAGGAAGTCCCCGGGGAGTTCAGTTTGTTGGAAGGTAAGCTCAGAGCCCCACCTGCTGCTCCCCTAGCCCGGGCTCCTCCTCTGGCCTCTGGACCCCTAACCTCCCGTTGGAAGCCTCCCGCTGGAAGCAAGAGCCCCGGTCACACTGGGGCTGCGGTGCCCCCTGGTGGCCCGCCCGCGGCTTACCTGTCCAGGCGGGCTGCTTCCGCGTAGGCTTTCCTGGCGTTCTCCGGGTCTTCCAGGTTGGTCAGAGCCACTGCAACAAAGAAAGAGGGCACTGCGGCTGGAGAGCCCAGCGTAGAAGGCAAAAGGAATGTTTCAAGACCACCGGCCTCCCAGCCCCCAAACTGCAGTCCTCCTCTGCCCTCTCGGCTCCTGGAGCCACGGCCGGTGCCCCGTGTCATCTGCTCCGACGGTCCCTCCCCAGGTCCCTCCCTGCGGTCAGCTGTGGCCGAGCCCTGTGACACTGCTCTTGTTCGGGTGCAAGTTGTTTCAGGCGTGTCATTTTGTCCCCACCTGCCACAAAGCCGCTGGGCCTTGTCCTGACTTACAAACCCATCTGACCACGTCACCACCTGAGTCAAGAGTCCTCCCTGCTTCTCCATTACCCATAACCATGATCTTTAAACTGCTGTTAGCAACAGAACGTGGTCTCTTTTTTAATCAGTGTTTTCTGGAAGGCTCTTCTATAAAACAAAGCAAAACAGATCCATTCCGGAAGCTGGGTCCACTCCACCTCCCCCTGCCAGCCACATGCTCACTTCCATCAGACGCAAAAGGGGAGATCCAGGAATACAGTTGGAAAACCTCAACCTCTAGGATAAAAGACTTAGGATAAAGGCCAGAGTCCTTCCACTCGTGCCCTCTGTGATGTGGCTGACCCCAGGCCCTCTTTCCTGATTCCTCCCCGACCCGCGCTCCACCCCCACTCCCCCACCCCACTCACTGCAGGGCCACCGTGCAGCTCCCTGGCTACTGGCCTTTGCTCCTGGCTCTTCAGCCATGCTGTGCCAGGGAATTCCAGCTAAGCCTTCAACATGTAGCGAAGGCCAAATCTACTTTGTTAAGTCAGAAATGCTGCTCCTGCCTCCCAGTAGGGCTGTTAGCCCTGCATCCCCATCAGAATGGAGCTGGCTCTGCATTCAGGCAAACCCCAGTTAAGCACCATTCTGCAACCTTCCTCTTATAAACAAGAACCCCACAATAATGATCTAAAAAAAACCACCTGAAGACCACACTGTCAATGATAATGTGGGAACTGCTTTCAGGCTTACATTTATTAAGTCTAGTATGTGGAGAAATATCCCCCAGAAAAAATATTAATTGGTACTTTAATGTTATAGTAACACATTAATAATAATAGACCAGTTCTGTAATGACAACAAAACCAATAATCTTCATTGGTTATTTAATCACGTAATCATCCCTCCCCACTGAGATCTATCCAGTACGTAGTGGAAGCAGGACCCTCCTAAAGCCCAGGCTCTTCACACTCAAGCGTATGTGGAACTTAGTTGGGCCCTCTCTCCCTCCCTCCCTCTCTCTCTCTCTCTCTCTCTCTCTCTCTCTCTCTCTCTCCTCTACATAAATGAATTGTTAAGCCAAGGGAAAACAACTGGTAAAAGATGAACTAGGGATGATCTTGATTTAACCTGCTGGTCTCTGAGTGAAATGCCCCCAAACTAGAAGCAACTAGATATTCTTCTTTTCCAAGCTCTAGGACATTCATCTGGGATCTGCAAGGCAACGGCTTCTACGGGACATTTATCACCAGCCTCGTATGGTTCTAGACCATTTTCCATCAACAAGACCACAGAGGGGCTCTGCCCACAGATGTCTCTTACCAGCCAAGAGCATGAAGAGCTCCCCCATCTTTGGCTGGAGGTTGATGGCTGCACTGACAAAATGGAAGGCCGACGCATACTGCTGCATGGTCAGGTGGACAAGGCCCAAATTATACAGAATCTTCCAATCGAAGGGAGCCAAGTAGTTGGCTCGTTTCAGGCAGCTGATAGCCTGCAGGAGAGAGGGGGCACTCGAGCGGCTGGAACAAGCCGGACAGTCCCAGGAACCGCGTGGATGAACACAAATGAGAAAGATGGGAAGCCACTCACTGCCACGTATTTCTTCTTGCCGAAGAAACACATTCCAATGTTATTCCACAGTGGAGGACTTTCTGGAACGGCACAAGCTACAACTCTGTATTTGGTGAGGGCGACATCAAAGTCCCCATGGGTCTGCATCATGCTGCCTGCTGCCAAGATGGCCTGAAAACACAGGACATGCAAAGCTGGTAACTAAGCCATTCCCAGAAAACTGTAGCAGTGAAGCAGTCATTCTGGGTGTAGACACTCAGCAGGCCCATCACACGGGCAGGAAATAAACGCTTCTTCCAGGCCACAGAGAACATACTCGAGTTCTCAGGAGGAATGTCCCCACACATTTTCACTGTACAATGCAGAAAAAGAAAAGGTCAGTGACTTTACCTAGCTCATCTGTTTCCTACTTCTAGTCAAGGAAGTCAATATTTCAGAGAGTCAAAGCCCTTTCAGTCAACAGCGGCCTCTCATCTGTTCCCCACGGCCCCTACATGGTACCCCAAGTGCTCCACACAACTCATAAACTGCTATCTTTGGCCACTTAAGGTCCAGCTTCTTCTGGCACCACCTGGCGGGGGGGGGGGGGGGCAGCTTGAGGCCTCCGTGGTCCAGCCCTCTCATTTCTCTGAGGAAAGGCGTCCAAGCTGGGGAGCCGGCTGCATCAGCCTACGTCTTCCACGACAGAAGAGATAGGACCGGGTCTGCACCCTTTGTCAAAGCTTGTTTGGCTGCATCTCCCTCCACGACTTTCATCTGCTATACGGTCCCCGCCCCAAAGTCCTATCTGGACAAGAGTTATCCTTGCAGATTCATTAAGAACCCATAAGTCGTTCACCAGATTCTCCTCGGACAGTAGTTGTGGAAGCTTTGTTCACTTCCTGAGTAACACACGGACCTTCCCCAGCGCGACAACTTCACTGCATAACTGACAGGCCTGTGACAGCAAACATGTGCTTGTAGAAATTAAGCAGAGTGCTAACACTAAGGGCCGTGTCTATTTATACTTTTCCTGAGAAAGGTGATTTCTCAGGTATCCAAAATGCTTTCTAGGGCCAGATCGCCTCTGGCAACAGCAAGAACACCTATTTGAAGGCCCTGGGGTTTGACAGCCCATGATACCTTGTAGTTGGTAGGGTCGTAAGTCAGCGCATTTCCAAGGTGTTCAAATGCCTTCTGGTAAATGCCGAGCTTGGAGAAAAAGCAAACCAGAGAATTAGATCAGTGGAGAGAGAGCAGTTAAGGAGTCTGGCCAACCACACCCTGAACTGAAATGCCTGGGCTTTCCAGCTGTCCTGATAAAAAAAGCTACAGATAACAGATAAAAAAAGAAAACTAAAAATCCCCATGTTTGTTGATTTCCCCTGAAGGTCAAAGTATCTGTTTGCCAGAAACCACCGCTGGCATGCTCTGCTGTTCCACACTAATGCCTCCTTGGCAGAAAACGGGCTGCTTAGCCTCATTTCCCTGGGGCCAACATCCAAGCCAAAGCCCAGGAAGGCCCAGAAAAACAAAATAGACAGAAAGGCTGCCCTGGAGGCAGAGCTGCAGGGTCAGCTAGGAGGGACCCAGAGGAGGAGCCAGTAGGGGCAGGGTGGGGAGGGCGCAGGGATACGGCGGGGCGCAGGCTGGTACAACAGAACTGCAGAATGCCATTCACATGCAGGAAAACGTGGAGGGGAGGGAGACTCCTTGTTCCAGACATAGACAGGGACCTGGCTGGGAAGAAGGAACAACAGAAACCGCCTCTGCCCCAAAGCCCCACTGGGCTGACCTGCTCAAGGCTTCTCCCACCACGACATAAGATCCCTCCCCACCCCCCACCATCCTCCCATTATTTCTCATATATGCTTTTTCCTTAAGTGGGTAAGAATCAGAGCTGCAGTAGCCTCAAACTGACTGGTTTGCTTCTGATTTAATGCAGGTAATTCAGTCCTGACAGAGAATATCAGATGCGGAGAGGAAGGTTCCTGCGCTTCACAGGCTCTTGAGTAAGATGTGTTGTATTACAGTCCAATCAAATCGCAGGGAAGCCACAATCCACACAAACCCAAAAGCATTTCTAACATTGGGGCATGAATGAGTCAAGATACCCTCCTTACCTGTAAGTACAGTAGTCCCAAAGTCGTAAGAAGTTCCGTGTTTTCTGGCGAGAACCTGCAACACAGAGGTCAATGCGGAGTGCTCAGAGGGAAGTGAGACTGAGAGACGCCAAGACCCGGCCATGACGTGCCCGCAGGCGGCACCTGGCAGACACGTGTGCCTCCTACTCCCCGTGAAAAGTCCTGCAGGGGATTTGGGAATTTCCTTCAAAAGCAGGTCATCTCAGCCCTGGCTACGGGATGAGTTGCTCAGCAAGAAAGAAATGGGATGCCTGGGTGGTTCAGTGCTTGAGCGTCTGCCTTTGGCCCAGGGCCTGATCCTGGAGTCCGGGGACCGAGTCCTACATTGGGCTCCCTGTGTGGAGCCTGCTTCTCCCTCTGTGTGTGTCTCTCATGAATAAATAAGTCAATCGTTAAAAAAATAAAAAATAGAATCCAGACTCCTTTATCAGGACTGTTCCTTAGGGCCAAAGTCCTAAGAACCACCTATGGAATATTCTGTGTGACTGTCCTGATTACTGATATAACTAACGTCCAATGCTCCATAAATTAAGTCAGCCTAAAACACAGTTGTATCCAGTTCCCGCTCGCAGCTTGGTTGGTTGGTTGGTTGGTGGTTTTTCTGGTCTCCCGGTACTGACAATGCGAGCCAGCAGTTTTCTGCGTGGTTTAAGATCCCAGGGGTCCTAAGGCTCTGCTCTCCACATTAAACAAAAAGCCATACTAAGTAGCCAAACTAAAAAAGAAGGAAGCCACATACCAGCTTGAGGAAAAAATTAACCATTGGCTTTGGGGAATAAACACTGACTTAATAGATTCTTTGCTTTCCCAACCCCTTACGGATACTTGCCTTTGTCACAAAAATCTAAGCAACACTGAGCTGAGCTGTTCTGTCTGTAGGATCATCAGCAGTTTCAACAGTGAAAATGCCAAAATGCAAAGAACAGCGTCTCCTGCTTCTAAGGAATGAGGGGCACTGGTTACCTATGGGGAGAGCAGCACCAGAGAGGCCAGAGCCCGAGCCAGAGGAAGCCCAGCTGCCAAACGGAGCTAACTCCGTTCCACTGAGTATTTGCCCTTCACTTTCTGCCGTAATCCTATATCCACTTGGATCGCCTCCCACCCACAAACCAATTCTGTAACTTCCCTGGTTCTGGTGGCATCCCCCTCACCCTCTCACCAAAACATGGCTACCATCTCCAGAGCTGGGTCCTAAGCAGTGGTCTCCATTCTCAGGGAGGTTCCAGATGCTCGCTGTCCCCTTTTTCCCTTGGGAATTTTACTGACTTACATCCTTGACGAGCCCCTGGAAGAATGTCACCCTCTAGATTTCTGTGAGCTAATCTCAAAGAGCCTGCTTTAGAAGGCAGAAGTCAGGGATCAGGCTCCCACCCAGCCCCACAGAAGCTTACAATAGTCTACATGGGCTCCTTCCTACTTGTCCCTGTAAACTTAGCCTCTTGGTGACAAAAGTCTTTGTAACTTAACAAATCAAGGGGTTTTTTGTTTGTTTTTTAAGATTTATTTATTTTGGGGCAGGGAGAGAAAGAAAAGGGGGAGGGGGAGAGGGAGAGAGAGAAACTCTGAAGCAGACTCCCCTCAAATGGGGAGCCTGACACAGGGCTTCATCTCACAACCCTGAGATCACAACCTCAGCCAAAATCACAAGGTAACTACTGAGCTACCCAGGTGCCCCAAGCCGAGGGAATTTTATGTCTTTTTAGACACAAAATGTGGTTGAAGAAAATTCAGAAATTAGTGTTGTGAATGGTAGAACCAGAAAAGTGACTACCATGATAGGAGACAAAGGTGACTGGGAGAAATCTAAGTTTAGTTCAGAGACTAATTATCACGAACAGTACATATACTCTGTGGCCAAACATCCTGTTAAGTGACACAACCAACGAGACATCTTGCTATAGCTATCCCACTTAAAACAAACAAGACCCTATATTAAAAAGATAAGGTAGTATGTGTCCCTAGAGAAGAAACATGGAACGCCATCCTGGGAAAGCCGGTCAGTTCCATTATCAAAGGGTTTGGCCTACCCTACTGATGTTTTGCAAACAACAAGATACTGGTCTCATGCGAATGAAGGCCACATGTTTTTTAGTGAATCAGATTTCTGACCCCAAGGTCTCTGGAAACAAGCGCTGCTATAAAGTTTAATACCACAATGGCAGACTACCAGCAGACTCCAAAGTCCATCCGCCCCTTCCTCCTGAGCACGTGTGTACCCATTTCCCTTGCAGCTCCTGGCCACCTCACCTCATAAACCATGGAATGTGAGCAGGAATGAGGTATGCAACTTCTGAACCAGGAAAACCTTCCTTCGAGCTGCTGACTCAGCAGTACCTGACCCACCGCCCCTTACCACAGCCTGGAACATGGATGCTACGTTATGTTAGCTCCCACCATGTGTGTGAAGGCAACACGTGAGGAATGGTGAGCTGAAAAAGAACCTGGATCCCTGACTGGTCTTGTGGAGCAGAGCTCTCCAGCGAGGCCGGACTAGCCAAACTGAGGGTGAGAAACACAAGTCCTCCTTATGTAAGCAAGCCCTTGGGAGCTTTTAACCTTAGCTTGAGCTTTACTCTAACTCACACAGCTGGTAATCAGTCATGGTAATCAGTAATCAGTCTTAAATTTGGGGGTTCGTATGTCTACTCCCATTTATTTTCTCATTGCCTTAAAGAAAACAGACATACTTACTCCACTGCTTTCTTATAGATTTCGATGGCTTTGTCCAAGTCTCCCTGCAGCAAGTGGATCTTCCCCAGCATGATGTAAGTCAAATCATGCCTGTTAAGATGTAGGGCATTGTGCAGCTGGTCATGTGCCTAACAAGATCCGTGGAGTAAAGAGAACCAAATCACTAGCATGAAAGGACAGTGGCTTGGTGTAGCCAGCGAAAAAACAGAGCTCCTGCCGTACTCATGCAGGAACACCACATGTCGGACAACAGCCCCCACTACCCCAAAAAACTAAAACACACCCAAACTGCGTGCTGACAGGATAGATGGCAACATGGGGTGTCTGCCTCTGGAGCCACGTGGGAGAGTATTTATACAAGATGATTAACCTGAGTATTCCCTGCTTCTTGATATTTATACCCATGACTCATACTTCATAATTCAAAGGAGCGCCATAGTACAGAATCCAGCACTGCCCTGAACTCCATCCCAGTTGCACCGCTGACCAGCTGCACCACCTTCCGCGGGGTGGACCTCATTTTCCTCGCCAATATTTTGATCAATGAATGCATGGACTGTTCTCATTTATTCACCAACATGTATTCACTGACAAACTCCTTGCTCTGGAAGAGCTTTATCCTAATAGATGACCATAAGGGCTTTAAGTCATTCACTGATTCAACAACTATTTACATCACTGTCCAGTATTAGATTTGCTCTGTTAGCTTTACAGTAAAATCTAAATATAATTCTCCTTCTCCTCAGTACAGGTCTGACCAAAGACCAATCCCACCTCTCCCTTGGTTCAGAATAACCCTACGAATAGAAATGTACTTGCTTGAAATATTCTCTGAGGAGAAAACTCTCCTAAGCAAGTATATCACACTGCAGATCTGCCCAGGAAACTTAAGGAGACCTGCTAAATAAATCTAAGTTCTTACATGGAAAATAGCATTACAAATTTTAACTGTCAGAAATCAGATCCACTTAAAACTTGAATTCATTTCCAATAACCTTAAAAACTAAAAGCAGTTGCCATCAGACCGTAAGATAGCTCTCACAGCCATGATTACACTTTTAAGACCTAAGGGTTCACTTTTTGATATCTAAGTTTTATTGAACATTTGTTTCTATACTGGAAAATTACACTGGGGATGGAAGAGAGGAGGGGAGAGAAGTAATTTTACTGCCATTCCCTCCTAACATTTCTAGAGTTTGTCATTTTCTTGCTAAAATCAAAAAAGAAAAAAAAAAGCAAATGGATGAAAAATGAGAATAAATGTATTATGCTTTCAATTTTTGCTTCCAAAATCTCTACATGCACTTCCCAGGAATAATACACCACGAGCGAGTTTGCCTCTGCAACGAGTGCCCCTCAATGGGCTCCCAAGCCCAACACTCAACCGCCACCACCATTCCCATACATTACCTTGTCGAACTGTTTCAGATAAATGTAGCAGACTCCTAGGTTGTGACAGATCTCCTACACACAAAAGAAAGTAAAACAGCATACATGTAAACTCCACCGTTACGATCAGAATGAAACAACAGGCATCTAGGGACTGTTACTGTCCAGCAAAACTTACATTTTAAATGGCACTACAGGTAGTTTTTTACTAGATTTCATACTTAAATACATTTAATTCTACAAAACAGGTTGTTTAATATTAAAAATTCAGATTATAAGAGAAAAAAGCAGAGTAAACTAAACAGGTGATCATCCTGGGTCCTTGGAGGGGGCACATACCCAGCTCAGCCCCAGGCCTGTCTTCTCTAAGAGCTGCCCTCCTCACAGAAGATACTGCCCATAGCCCCTGCTTCACCTCTAAGGCAATGTGTGTGTGTGTAGGTGTGTAAATCAGATTCCTCCTCCTAGGAATCTAGGACTTGACTAGGTAATGTGGACTTGAGGCCCAACCACACTATCTGGAGGCCACTGAAACAGAATATATGGAATTAAAGCCAATCTGCTTAAGTCTACAAACCTTGGCGGCCCAAATCCATCCTCTGCTTTTCTTGTAAATAAAAAAAAAAAATTCTTTTTTTAAGATTTTATTTATTTATTCATTAGAGACACAGAAAGAGAGAGAGAGGCAGAGACACGGGCAGAGGGAGAAGCGGGCTCCATGCAGGGAGCCCAATGTGGGACTCGATCCCGGGACTCCAGGATCACGTCCTGGGCTGAAGGTAGATGGTCAACCCCTGGGCCACTCAGGCATCTCTGTTGTAAATAAAATTTTACTGGAACACAGCCATGACTTGTTACACGTTGTCTATAGAACTTTCACACTAGAACTTTAGAGTTAAGTAGTTACAATAGAGATTATATGAAACCACAAAGCTTAAAATATTCACTAGGCCCTTTACAGAAGCAGCTTGCCAACTGCTGACCTACAGAAAGAAAAAATGAAGCAGCAATGCAGAGTAGCCACCTTGGTTACTAAAGCTTTCCGGTTCTAGTTCACTGTAAGTCTGCATTTCCTGACCTTGAATTCTGAAGAATCTCTCTTTCCTTATACTGAATCTTCCCTTTATCTGCAGTAGCTTAAGAGAAAAGAGGAAGCAGGAGTGAGGAAAGTGCTCTATGGGAAACAGTGAGGACCTTCTTGTTAGGAGTGGAGAGGTGTGGGAGGACATTTAGATCCAGAAGTGTCCCTGTCTGAAGAAACACAGACCCCAGGACTCAGAAACAAATAGTTCAATGTGTTCCAAGTCTCCTAAAATAACAAAATAAGGTTCACTGAGGCTCTATGCCAGATGGTTGTCATATATGTACTACTTTAATATTCCCAGCAAATCTGAAACACAGGTGTAACAATTTGGACTCCAGAGAGAAAAAAACTGAAGCTCAGGTTAAGTAGTTTTCCTGACTTTAGAGTATCAGCACTAGGGTTTGTGAGGTCAAAATCTTCAGAAGAATTTCAACTATACATAAATGTAGACAGAATCACCATGGGCTCATCACTCTGTCCCAAAACCATCTAATCCATACTCCCATCTACCCCACTACTTTACGAAATACCAGCTAGGGGCAGCCCGGGTGGCTCAGCGGTTTAGCACCGCCTTCAGCCCAGGGCATGATCCTGGAAACCAGGGATCTAGTCCCACGTCAGGCTCCTTGCATGGAGCCTGCTTCTCCCTCTGCCTGTGTCTCTGCGCCTCTCTCTCTGTGTCTCTCATGAATAAATAAATAAAATATTTAAAAAAAAAATACCAGCTAGCGTAACATCCACAAACGTTTCAGTATGTTCTAAAGCAGGTCTTTTTTTTAACTACTTAGAATACCATTATCAGACCTGAGAAAAAATAACTGCTTATTTCAGATACTGAGTCATGTTCAAGAAGCATAAAACTCATAAATGTCTCACAGTCCATAAAAGGTTTTTGTTTTTTGTTTTTTTTAGTTTTTTTTTTTTCTTAAATCACAATCCAAATAGTGTCCACACATTACAAAGCATTGGGACTTGAACTCAGCTTGCCTCCAAAATGTGTGTACTTTCCCATTAACGTACAGATGGAGGTGGAAAGAGGAGAAATGTACCCATGCTTGTCCTTTAAGCGCCCTAAAACTAATCCCTAACTCTTTAAAATCATTTGTCATAGATAGTACTTGAGAAGGCAGCAGCAACAGGCCTTAAACAAACTGACGACAAAGGAAATTTGAAAAGGAAACAGAACAAATAAGAGTTAAATTGTGTCTTTCACAGAATGAGGGAATCCAACAGACATCCTGAGAAAGGCAGCTGGAGAGTGGAAAAATCACAGGCCCACAGTAAGGAATCTTAGAGTCTAGGCCTGAATTCTAGCTCTGGTTCTGCCCCCATCTCACTGTGCTTCTTTCAGCAAGTCACTCGAGCTAGCCAGAGCCTCGGCTTCTCACCCCTCTGGGGTCAACAGGATAAAGTCTCCCTACTTAACAGAGCGGTCTCAGAAGTCAAATGAGATACCAGCAGGAGGAATGACTATCCCCCTGTTGCAGCCACACTATGGTGTACCATGATGAGTCCAAGAAAATAGGGCTACAAGGTCTTCCGTGGGCCACAGGAACTTAGAAGCAAGTAGGACACAGAGTGGCAGCTGGGGCACGACCACCTCGACTGACACCAATGGAATGGCTCTCACAAGGGAGTCAGTAATACCGAATGAGCTACTTCAACCAAGTGGATGGATGAGCAGATACTCTCTATACGCCCAGACGACTCAGCTCCCCTGCTCCACTTGCTCCGTATCTTGCTCTGCGGGCTCTTTTCCTCTTTAGCTCAGCCCTTCAACGCTTTCTCTAGGCTTCCACCCTCAGCTCATTGAAGAGTGATCTCATCCCATTTCATGTCTTTAATCATCACCTTTATATTGTTGTCTCCAGGATGAATCTCTCTAGCCCAGAACACTTGAGTTTCAGATTTCTATATCCAGCCATACACTGACCACACCTCAATTTAGACAACCTACCAGAAGCAAAAACAAATCACGTCCACAATCTTAAAGACAGGATTTAGCTCTGACTGGTTATCATCCTCTCCCAAAACTTCCTTCTCTTCTCTCCTGTATTTCCTATTCTAGTTGATTGTCCCATAATCCATCAATCCATCTTTGTATTTCCAGTGCCTGTCATGTAGCAGACATTCATTTGTTCACAGAATGAATGAATGAATGAACGAATTAGTTTTCTCTTATCTTTGGCTCCATTTTGGCATTTAGGTATAAAATACTTGGTGGCATCTCTGTCTTCAGACCTACAGAAGTGACCAACAAACGGAAACTTCTCAAAAATAATAGTGCCATAAGAACTGCAGGAGAGGGGATCCCTGGGTGGCGCAGCGGTTTAGCGCCTGCCTTTGGCCCAGGGCACGATCCTGGAGACCTGAGATCGAATCCCACGTCGGGCTCCCGGTGCGTGGAGCCTGCTTCTCCCTCTGCCTATGTCTCTGCCTCTCTCTCTCTGTGTGACTATCATAAATAAATAAAAAATTAAAAAAAAAAAAAAAAGAACTGCAGGAGAAATCCACGCCAGCTCTCCGTATGAACCAATCTAATCTCTCACACACAGATCTTTCCAAGAGTCCTCAGCTATTAGGAAAAAAAACCCCAACAGCCTGAGAAAGAAGAACCAAAATAAAGAGAGGAAAGAAAAGGTAATTCTGGAAGACAGAACAAAACTTCAAGAGTCAGAGACACGGAGAGGCTATGTCCCTGAATATACAGAAAAAAGACAGGGAGGGGGAATATGTGAGATGCAAGGTAAGAGACACGCAGAACAAATACAGAACACATTTAGGACAATGGAAGACTGTGGCAGGTGCCACTAGTTAATCCACTCTCCTTTTTGCCCTTCCTAACAGACCCTAACTTGGTTTAGCATGTCAATGTGTCCAGTGTAAAAACTATACTTCCCAGCCTTCCTTAAAGCTGGGGGCGGAGGGGGAGTTGATATGACACAAGTGGCAGTTGATTGGGGATTTCAGGGAAAGCTATAATAATACAGTCTGTCTTTTTCTCTTTGTTGTTTCCTTTTTGTCTCTGCCTGGAACGATGATGTGATGTTAGAGCTGTAGCAGACACCTTGTGACCATGAAGAAAAAGCCTCATCCTTGACGTCTTGGACCACCAAGTCAATGTTGGCAACTACTTACCTGGATTTGTTTCATGAGAAAAAAATAAACCCCTAATTGGTAAAGCCAATTAGTCAAATTTTTTATTGCAGTTATAAACCCTAACTGGTATAAAGAGACAAGAGAAGCAAGAAGAAAAAAAGCAAAGAACTACTCAAAGAAAATTTCCCTGACCCAAAATAGGGCCAGGGTCCTCAGAGAAAAACCATCTGAGGATCCACAGATCAGGGGGAGGAGGGGTGCAGAGGAAAGAAACACTTCTGGGCAACCATTATTGATATTTCAGAACTCCAATGATAAAGAGAAAACCCTAGAAGCTTCTAGAGAGGAAAGTGGAGTTATCAACAAGAATCAGACTGGTAAGAGTGTCAGAAAACCAGGCAGCAATGTCTGCTAAGTTATAAGGAAACATGATTTTTGATCTTATGCTTAGCTAAACCATCAATCAAGTGTGAGAATAAAGACATTTGAGTCACATAAGAATTCAGTAGCAATAACAAAAGACAAATGAAACCATTAGCAGGTCATTAATAACAAAGAACAAAGTTCTCCACTTACCCAATCCTTCTGGTTAAGTTTAGCTGCTTCATTATATACTTCAATGGCAGCTTTATGTTTTCCCAAAAGAAACCTGTGGAAAAGATAACACTTTCTGTAACTATTAACTCAAAGCTTTTACAGGACTAACTCCACTAGTCCCCTCATTTGACCCATATTCCATCTGGGAGAAAATTCTGGAAGCCTCTTCCCTATCAGCTGGCTGTGCTGCTTTGGCCAATGAGGTTGGTATTTATCAACAACAGAAGCTCTTTTGGTAGGGGCTGCACTGATAGCTGGCCCACAGTCTTGGTCTCACTCTATGCTGATTTTAGTGAAAGTCTTCCGTGATTTATTTTCTGCAACATACCACAAATGTAGAACAAAAAAGAAACAAGTCAAAGTATATTTGCCTGTTAAGCAAGCATTCATCACCATCTACATGCCCTTCCCTTCCAAGACTAAATCTCTTGCCTTGATATCAGATCCCGATTCTGAAGAGAGGCACAGGCAATCCAGGCTCTATGCAAAGACGGCACAAGAATGGATGACAATAGGTAAGAAAGTGGGGCTAGAGACCCCGTGGGATACTTTATGGCTCTGGAGTAGAAAAACTATCAGCGTACCTAACTGTTTATAAAGACTGGAGGTTGACTGCATCCAGGAAGTGTCAGGGCATCCACTCGACACACACTTACTAAAACTTAACTATGTCAAGCATTTTAGTAAGTGTTAGAATAGCAGATGAAAAGAATTCTATGGGTTGCCAGTAAGAGAGGGGATCGAGGTAACAAGATATCACTATTTATATGATAAACAGTATCAGTGTTCCCTCATCCCTCTACACTATACGCTGTTTGAAATACTCAGTTCCTTCATACTTGATAACTCATTTTCTCAAATTTCAAAAGTAGTCCACTCTTCAAAGTGGATCCCAGTATCTCTATGGAGCAACTATCCCTCTCTGTATCTGCAGGCTGGTCAGGCTGCCAGAAGCAGCCACTGCGCCTGAGAACGCAATTTACGTGGTTCTCTGTGAATGCCCCAGGGCTTGCAGGCAGCAAATACTCACAAAGATCTGGCCACCTGTTTGAGGTTATCAGCACACTGAGGGCTGAGAACAGCACATGTCTGAAAGAGTTCTAGGGACTCTTGGATATTTCCTTCCAGGCGAAATATTAATGCTGCCAAGAGACAGAAAACACAGAAATAAATCATCACGTTCTGGGGAGAACAGTCTCATATCAGAAAAACTGAAGAAGAGGAACTTAAATCATACCAAAGGAATCCTTTGGATAACTGTATTTTTAACACAATCAGATAGGACCTCAGGTAGGCTGAAACAAGTAGCAAAATTGTTGACAATCTAAAACTTTTTCTAAGAAGGTATCTCAGAGCCACCTACTCCTCCATTCCCAGCATCCACCACGTGGATAATCAGCTGCCTTGCAAATTATCCCACAAGTTCTTCATAATAAGGATATTCCTGGGCTTCCCCATCAAACACTCTATTTATCATGATAATTCAGACATCCGTCTGGCTGTTTCCTGAGAACACGCAAACAGGGAAAAGGCAATCAAGGAGATTCTGGCTGCAAGTGCACTAATATTTCAGACTTGGTTTTCAGTATAGGAACCAATACAAATCGGCCATTCTCCCTAGGCTTAAGTTTTCAGAAGAATTGACATGTTTAAGTATTATGAGGCACTGAAAGTCTGGAACTTGTAATATTGGTGAAAAAGGAGCACTAGGTGTGTCAGTATGTCACAAATTTGTATACCAATTATGTCACAAAATTATATATTAATCTGAAGGCTATCAATCCAATAAATAGTAAACAAAACCATTCATTTACATCAAAGAATCAAAAGGAAAATTCCTAGAAAAACTAAAGATGCCAAAGGGTAAAATTTCAGTCAGTGGTTCCTATATTTGGTTTTTGATAAATTTCATCTGTTCTCTGCTTTATCCTCTGTACCTCTAGGCTTCTTCCCTTCATCCTACCACCCTTATAAAAATTCCTCAAGCCTTTCCTAATCTCTCTTAGCCTGACTACAAGGAGCCTTTCCAGAAGCCCCTTCTGGGCTTGAAGCTGCTGCCTGAAGCAGGGACCCTAACATTCACTCTGAAAACACTAGCCAGACACTAGATAAATGGGGGAAGGACAGCAGCAACTTTTAATAAAACTAGTCATTCCTGAGGTCAAATCCCACACAAGAATTATGTTGATTTCAAACAATGTAATACTGAATAAGACCTTTGCAGAACATTTGAATTTAAAGTGTTTCATAAAAAAAAAAATATAAAAATAAAAAAATAAAATGTTTCCTAAGTAGTTTGCTCTTCTTTTAGAACCTAGACAAAGTATGCATTTCTCTAACAAGAAGAGAAGAAATATATATATCTTACCTTGGACATAGATAGCATATTCACATAAGCCCTGAGTCTCCTGAAGTTGCTCTTTGATAACAGCCTAAAAGAGGAAGAAATATACTTCTGAGTAATAGTTCAATGTCTTGAAATGTTTTTAAGAAAAGGTAGACGTGGGCTATGAGGCAGGAATCTATCAAAATCCTACAGGAGAACGCAGGCAGCAACCTCTCTGACCTCAGCTGCAGCAACTTCTTGCTAGCCTACTGTATAAAAGCAAGGAAAATAAAAGCAAAAGTGAACTATTGGGACTTCATCAGGATAAAAAGCTTTTGCACAACAAATGAAACAGTCAAAAAAGGCAACCTACAGAATGGGAGAAGATATTTGCAAATGTCTTATCAGATAAAGGGCTGGTATCCCAAATCTATAAAGAACTTATCAAACTCAACACCCAAAACACAAAAAGTCCAGTTAAGAAATCTGGAGAAGACAGGAACAGACATTTCTCCAAATAAGACATACAAATGGCCAACAGACACGTGAAAAACTGCTCAACATCATTCAGCATCAGGGAAATATAAATCAAAGCCACAACGAGATACCAGCTTACAATCGTTCAGAATGGCTAAAATGAACATCTCCGTAAACAACAGATGTTGGTGAGGATGTGGAGGAAGGGGTATCCTCTTACACGGTTGGTAGGAATGCAAGCTGGTGCAGCCACTCCGGAAAACAGTATGGAAGTTAAAAATAGAGCTACCCTAAGGCCCAGCAATTGCACTACTGGGTATTTATCCAAAGGATACAGTCATTCAAAGGGGCACATGCTCCCCAATGTTTATAGCAGCAATGTCCACAATAGCCAAACTACAGAAAGACCCCAGATGTCCATCGACAGATCAAAGAATAAAGAAGATGTGGTATTTGTATACAATGGAATAGTAGTCTCAAAAAGAATGAAGTCTTGCCATTTGCAACGACGTGGATGGAACTAGACAGTATTATGCTAAGCAAAATTAGACAGAGAAAGACAATTATCGTATGATTTCACTCATCTCTGGAATTTAAGAAACAAAACAGATGCAGTGTCTGTGTGGCTCAGTCGGTTGGATGTCTGCTGTCACCTCAGGTCATGATCCCAGGGTCCTAGGATTAAGATCCACATCTGGCTTCCTGCTCAATGGGGAATCTGCTTTTCCATCTTCCTCTGCCCCTCCCTACCTGCTTATGCTTGCTCTCTCTTTAATAAATAAAACAAATAATACAGTATATGTCAACTGAATTGAATTTAAGTTAAAATTTTTAAAAAAGAAAGAAAAAAGTAGACATGGTCAAGGAGCATATGTAAGAAATCTAGAATACAAATAATTACTAATAATGTTCGTTTGGAATTTTTTTTAAATTTCAACTCTCTTATGGCTGCTTATAGAACAAGGGTCAGCAAACAATGGCGCACAGGCCAAATCTGAGCTACACAGTTTGTTTTTGTAAAGCTCTCATGCTAAGAGTAGTTTTCACATTTTTAAAGGGTTATAAAAAAAATAAGATGAAGAGTATGAAACAGAGACTGTGGCCTATAAAGCCCAAAATATTTACCATCTGGCCCCTTACAAAAAGAGTTTCCCAACCCTTATCTAGAATCTAGGCAAGCTAAAGAAAACGTGAAAAGATTGCTAGGCATTACTGTAGATGCCAGGTGCTCTCTGATGGCAAAATACAGGCTCTACCTTCCTCCCGTGACAGGCTAAACTCAGTATGAGACAGGAGTTCAGAGAACAAGCACCTGAGTCAACTTAGAGATTCAAGGAAGGCTTTCTGGAGTCAACAGTTTTAAAATCCTGTGTTGACAGGGGTTGGAGGAGAAACTGAGGTGGCTAAAGGAGGGAGAAAAGGGCTTCCAAGTCCAAGCTAAAGAAGTTGAGAGCCATAAAGAAGTTGAAAAGTTTGTAAGCTCTGTAAGCAGGAAGTAACCCAATTCTATTTGCTTTATAGAAAAGTCATTTTTGGAGCACTGTTGAAAACAGATTGAAAGGAGGCAGGATTGGTGTAAGAATTCTTACAGTAATTTAAACAAAAATGATGAGAATTAACTAAAGCACGGAGAGAGAATAAAGTGGACAATTTCAAGAGACAGTAGACAAGGATCTCCAGAACTTACTGATTATCTATAATATACTAGGGAAAATGAATCAGGGGATTCTGACACAGACAGATGGGCGAAAGATGGTATCTATTCCTGCGAAAGAGTACAGGAGAAGGAACAGGGTTGGAGGAAAGCAGATAAATTCAGCTACAGAAAAGCTAAATTTGAAATGCCTGTGAAGCATCAGGTTTCAAACTCATCTGAAGATCAGAAAGAAATGTATGAAATGAGCAAAGGGATCAAGGAGAGGACCTAGGAACATCCCCAACTCTTAAGAAATAAATGAGGAAGAGAAGCCAAAAATAGGAAACAGAAAAAGTTGTCAAAAAAAGGAAAAGGGAAACCAGAAAAAGAGAATATCACAGGAGAGAAAGAAACCTTCTGAGATTCATGTTGGTACTAAACATGGCTAGTTCTGTCCAGTGCCATAGGTACAAATGCCACAGATTTAAAACTACAACTTCAGAAGCGTGCAAAGTTCTGAATGCCAAAAAGACAAAATGAAGGATATATCTTGCATGTTTAGTACTGTTATGTCATAGATGTTACCAAAGATACAGTTTAGAGAAAAAGGAAATACACAGTTTTTAAATATACAAATAATGATCATGTTCACCATAATAAGAGAATTATAATACTCAATGAAATATCATTTTTAACCTAGCCAGAGATCAAAAAGGTAAATAAATACCATGATGTGTTGAGCATTTGCCCCCCCACCAAGAGACCAACAAGTCCCAGACAGTGGCTCCTCCTTCATCCACATCTTGAAATGAGAAGACACATGGAGGACACCTGAACCTGACCCCCAGCCTACAGTCAGACCCAGGCAACCCACAGCCAGACTGAAGGCCCATGGGCAATAACTAAATGTTTGTTGATGGAAACCACTGAAATTTTGAGGTTGTTAAGCAGCATTATCATAGCAAAAGCTAACTGATACACAAAGGGTGGGGAGACACACAGTGTAGGAATTTGTACATTATTAGTGGGATTTAAACTGCCACAACTCTGTGTGACACATTCTGTTAGTTGCCTAACAAAGCCCGCCTCTTACGGTGTCTATCTTTACAATCACTCACCTTGCATGCTTCATAATCCTTCCGGATATAGTGGAGATGTATCAACCAGTTCTGTTTCTCCAAAATTGGAAACTCTTGAGCTGGAGAGCATATTTTGACAGACAACAGAGTCATTATTAGGTTTTCTCCTTTAGCATTGTGCTCACATGTGACTACAATCCTACTGCAGTAGCACATTAAATTCTTCATGCTGCTGATCACAAGAATATCATACATCAAAAATGTCTAGATCTTTAAAACTAAAGATACTTGTCCTACTATCATACATTGAATATATACTTCTCTTCGGTTTTTGCAGCCTATCCTGTCAGTTTCTCAGACCATAACTTGGCCTGAAGAAAATAAAATCATTGTCTCTTCTCCCTTTCTCTCTCCCTGGTTATCGAAGGTGAGTAGATGACTCTCTAAAGGATATTTCAGGAATATTACAAACAAAACATAACATAGTTAATGTCCCATCTGATAGATCAAAGGTAAAATAGTTAAACACAATCCTAGCAATAGCAAGTAAAACATTATACTGCTGCCCAGGAATGAGAAGGCAACAATGACCAAAAAAAATTTTAACTGAGTCACTGAAAACAATTTCTGATAAACCATAAAATGAGTTACTATCCTTTTGAATTTAAAAGTTTAAAAATATGGGTAAAAATACATTAAGAAAAACCTCTGTGGAAAAAAAGAGAAGGCTTCACACCAACAGAAGTAGGGAGGAAGGGGGAGGGAGGAAAGTTAAAAAGGAGTCTTCAGGAGCACTTGGGTGGCTCAGTCAGTTAAGCATCTGACTCCTGATTTTGGCTCAAGTCATGATCTCAGGGTCCTGGGATCGAGCCCCACATCAGGCTCTGTTCTAGGCGTGGAGCCTGCTTAAGATTCTTTCCCTCTGCTCCTCCACACACACCTCTCTCTCACTCTCTCTCTCAAAAAGAAAAAGGAGACTTTAACTCTTTAATGTTTTAATTCTACACACACACACACACACACACACACACACACACACATCTCTAAACTATACATGACTAAATGTTTACACTTATTAAATCTGGCCAGTGAGTACACGGATGTTCATGTTTTTATACACTTTAATACATATTTGAAATACTCCCTTTTAAAAATGTAAAAGAAAGAATACAGCAGGAAAACAGGTGGAAACAATTTCTAAATATTTGTCATCATTCTGTCCCATAACCTTAAGAGATACATCAACAGGAAACCTAAGATTTGTAGATCCATAATATGACAGGAAGGAAAAAAGTTTACTATGACCCAGAGTCAATGGTGCCAGAACACAATAATTAATGATGCTTACTCCCTCCCAAGAACAGGGAATATCAATGGAATTTATAAGATAAAATTATGAAAGTATGGATATGCTTTTCTACGCCAGAAGGAAGAAACACTTCTATGTGAAACAATTACATAACCAAATAAACATGACAACTGCAAGAATTCTTCTCCCTTATAATTTGCCCTAGGTGCCAAAATCTCTTAGTAATGTCCCTAACTCACATTTTATATTAAATTTTGATTAATGCTAGGGAATGACATCCTGGATATATGAAGGCTGAGCAGAAAATTACTGTGCTTTGAATTTTCAGTTGAAAAATTTTCTAAAATGACTAAGACTTTTGTAAGTATAAATAAAGTCTTCTTTGGTAAAGGATCTCTTCTGGGATGAGGAGATACAGCACATGTTTTGTTTTGTTTTGTTTTTATGTAGAATTCCCATCCTGATTCAGTACCAGCTTTCTCGGGACCTATAGCAAATTATTCAGCTTCTCTGGGCCTCCATTTTTCCCTCAATAATTTTCAGTGGAAAATTACGAAAAATCTGAAAGTGGTCATCCAATAAATGTTAATTTCCTCATATTATAACAGGACTTATAATACTTTTCTGCCTCAACATATTATTTGGGACATTGAAAGATATGACAAATCTACTGAGGCAAGGAAAACAAAAGTAAAAATAAACTTTTGGGACTACATCAAAATAAACTTCTGGACAGCAAAGGAAACGAACAAAAGACAGCCTACTAAATGGGAGAAGACACTTGCAAATGACATATCTGACAAGGGGTTAATATCCAAAATATATAAAGAACTTCTAGAACACAAAAAAATAATCCAATTTAAAAATGGGCAGAAGACAAGAACAGACATTTCTGCAAAGAAGACATACAGGTGGCCAACAGACACATGAAAAGATGCTTAACCTCATTCATCATCAGGGAAATGCAAATCAAAACCACAATGAGAGATCACCTCACACTGTCAGAATCAATAACACAAAAGAAGCAACATGTGTTGCTGATGATGTAGAGAAAAAGGAACCCTTGTGAACTGTTGGTGGGAATGCAAACTGGTATAGCCACTGTGGCAGACAGTTTGGAGGTTCCTCAAGAAGTTAAAAATAGAAATAACCTTCGATCCAGCAATCCCCCTACTGGATATTTACCCAAAGAATATGAAAAAACAAATTTGAAGAGATATGCACTCCTATGTTTATGGCAGCATTATTTACAATAGCCAAGATATGGTAGCAGTCTAAGCGTCCATCAAGAGATGAATGGATAAAGATGTGGGGTGTGAGGTGTGTGTGTATATGTGTAATGGAGTATTTCTCAGCCATAAAAAAGAATGAAATCTTGCCACTTGCAACAACATAGACGGATCTAGAAGGTATAATGCTAAGTGAAATCAGTCAGAAAGAGATAAATACCACATGATTTTACTTATATGTGTAATTTAAGAAACAAAACAAAGGGGGAAAAAGATAGACAAAGACAGACTCTTAACTACAGAAAGGAAGCTGATAGTATGGGTGGAGGGGGAAGGATGGGGGAAGTAGATAAAGGGATAAGAGTACACTTATCTTGATGAGCCCTGAATAATATATGGAATTGTTGAATAGCTATATTGTACACCTGAAACTAATATAACACTGTATGCTAACTATACTGGAATTAAAAGAAAGAGAACAAATCTTGAAATGAATATAAATGTATAGACAAATATAAATGTAAGACATTATTACTATCAGTTTGAGCTCTGTATTAGTCGGGGTCTAAGAAGGTAAGATGGAAACCACTTGAGAATTTATTTTTTTTTTAATTTTATTTACAATAGTCATAGAGAGAGAGAGAGAGAGAGAGAGAGGCAGAGACACAGGCAGAGGGAGAAGCAGGCTCCATGCACCAGGAGCCTGACCTGGGATTCGATCCCGGGTCTCCAGGATCGTGCCCCGGGCCAAAGGCAGGCGCCAAACCGCTGCGCCACCCAGGGATCCCCCACTTGAGAATTTAAAACATAGGGATTTCAATGGCATGAACGGTGGTGATGAATGAAATGAGAGGCCCAAAAGGGAACAGTGAGACAAATCAGAGGTTAGCATGGGAGCATAAAGCTACCACCTGGAAGGAAAAGGGGAGGAAATGTGTTGTCACCAGCATCCACGACCGAAGTTATCAGGAAGAAACTAAAAACAAGATGGCTTGAAGCAACAGAAGATGCTTCCAGAGACCACCTCACTCCTCCAACTTCCCCAAGCAGAGAGAGAGGAAAGCCATGGGTTCTCCTTCTTCCTGGCCTCCAATCTCCTGCCAGTTCCCCCCACTTGCTAACCCAGACACTGCTGACACAGAAACTGCTGACACAGGGGCATGGAAAGGAAAGAAGCCTGCAAGGGTAGGCTCTTCATAATACACAGCAAAGAAGGGAAAAGTGTGGAATGTGGATCTGAGGGCACCCAGGCCCATGATCAGCAGAAACCTCAATTCCGTTCATAAATGATGATGAAAGAGGAGGAGACTGGACCACGTCAGTACTCACCTCAAGATAAATAGAAGCTGGCTTTTAAAAAATTATTATTCTTAAATTGTTTGCTACCCAACTTGCTTACTTCTTATGAGCTTAAATAGGATGAGGAAGAATGAAAAAGTCAAAAAGATCAATTATGGTTTTACTACATATCCTATTTTACTTCCTCAAATCAAAATTTAATAATTACATTTTATCCTTTTTAGGGGTGCCTGAGTATGTATGTATCCTCCTATATGTATTTATATTTTTTATTTATATGATTTACTTAGATATATTCCATAAGTATATATAATTATTAAACATACTTGGAGGGATCCCTGGGTGGCGCAGAGGTTTGGCGCCTGCCTTTGGCCCAGGGCGCGATCCTGGAGACCCGGGATCGAATCCCACGTCAGGCTCCCGGTACATGGAGCCTGCTTCTCCCTCTGCCTGTGTCTCTGCCTCTCTCTCTCTCTCCCTGTGTGACTATCATAAATAAAAATTAAAATAAAAAAAATCTTTAAAAAAAATAAAAATAAAATAAACATACTTGGAAACTGTTTGCTTATATCTACTGAACCTAAATATATCCTGTGACCAAGTGACCAAGCAATTCTACTCCTAGGTACATACATGTACTCAAATCACATGTACAAGATGTCATGGTGACATTATGCATACATAACATCTTAAAATGAAAGTTTCCCTATGTTCATCAAGAGTAAACTAAGGGTGAGTGGTTAAGTGTCTGCCTTTGGCTCAGGGCGTGATCCCAAGGTCCTGGGATCAAGTCCCATATCCGGCTCCCTGCAGGGAGCCTGCCTCTCTCTCTGCCTATGTCTCTGCCTCTCTCTCTGTGTCTCTCAGGAATAAATAAATAAAACCTTAAAAAAAAAAAAAAGAGTAAACTGAACTGAGGTGCCTGGGTGGCTCAGTCATTTAAGTGGCTGCCTTCAGCTCAGGTCATGATCCCAGAGTCCTGGGATCAAGCCCCGCATCTGGCTCCCTGCTCAGTGAGAAACCTGCTTCTCCTTCTCCCTCTGCCTCTGCCCCTCCCCCTGCTCATCCTTGCATGCGCTCGCTTGCTCGCTCGCTCTCTCTCATAAATAAATAAAATCTTGGAAGGCAGGAAGAAGGAAGAAAAAGGAAGACAGAAAGAGTAAACTGAATAAACTAGGGTATAGCCTAACAGTGGGATACTATATAACACTGAAAAATATATTTCTTAAGCAAACACTGAATAATTGTTGATCCTAAATTCAAAAGCACAGCAAAACTGATC